ACATTACAGAAAAGGGCTCAATGGAGTCTATTCACTTATGCGTTTTAGGCTTTTTGTCTTTTGGAATGTCCCAAGATATTTCGAAGAGGAGGCCCGACTCCTGCATTCCTGCGATTGGCTCCAGTAGCAAGTATATTTTCTGAAGTTCTGCCCTCCTAAACAACTTCAGTCCCAACTTGGGGGCAAAATGCCCTAATGCACACTGTGTGTTTTGAACAAACCATCCATCTGGCCTTCCTTCACTATCCAGGGAGGGGTCTAAACCTTGCTATGGATTTCTATACTTACTTAGAGGGAAACTTACACACAATGTCTAGAAACCTTGATGTTCTACAAATCTCGGAGGGGAATGTTTTCAGACTCTTTACAGTGGGAATTCAGTACCTCTATACAAGAAAAATGATAGTACCTATCTCATAAGTCTGAGGAGACCACGGGAGAAGCTTCTGCTAGCTGCTCAGTTGCCACTGAAAGTCTGCTGATGTGTGCCATTGTCTCCAGGAATGCTGATCAGGCTGTGCTGAACTTTGCCACTGACATGGGAGTCACTCATATTCTGGCCACTTCACTCCTGAGACCTTCCTTACCCAGACCAAGGCAGCCTTCTGGTGGTGATGGATGCTGGGGCTCACCATTAGCCTCTTGCAGAGATGTCTTATGTCAATTTACCCACCATTGCTCTGAGTAACACAGATTCTCGTCTATGCTGAGTGACAGTTACGATCCCATGCAACAATAAAGCAGCTCACGTAGTGGGTCCGACTGGATGCACGCCCTAGAATTTCTCTACGTGAATGGTGAATGGCATCATCTCATGCGAACATCCATGTTAGGCCATGGCTAATCTCCACTTCTACAGAGACCCTGAGAAGAAAGAGCAAGCTGGCGCTGAAAAGGCTGTGACCAGGGAAGAGCTTCAGCATGAATGGACCTCACCAGTTTCCCGGTTCCTCAGCCTGAGGAGGCAGATGACCTGAAGGCACCCAGGTGCCCTCTGTGCCCATCCAGCAGTCCCCAGGCACAGAGGACAGGTCTGCTCAGGCCACTGAATGCATAGGGACACTACTTCATGGCAGGAAGCTGCTCTGCAGATACTCAGGCAAGATGGAAAACGAACAGTTTCTGAAAGCAAAGCAAAACCAAATGACAACAGTCAGCAAACTCCTCCCTCTCACAGGGTGCCTGCCTGCCTGCCTGCTGTTACAAGGTGCAAACTCCTCCCTCTCACAGGGTGACTGCCTGCCTGCTGTTACAAGGTGCTTTTTTCCTGTTCTAGTGCTTTTAGGTGGTGTCTGTAGGTCTATTAGTTTCCTAAGACTGCTGTATCAAGCTATTGTGATGTATCTGGCTTAGAACTAAAGAAATGTGGGGTTAGGGATGCATCTCCAAGGCTGAATGCTTGCCCAGAATTCTCTAGGTCATGGTTTCTTATCCTCAGCACTGGGAGTAGGGGTAGAGATGGGGGTTGGGAGGTGGAGGCTGGGCATGTTGGTGCACAACTATAATCCCAGCATTCAAGAGGATCAGAAGGTCTATACTGCAAGTTCAAGGCCAGCCTTGACTCCATGAAATCCTTTCTTTTTTTGTTTTGTTTTGTTTTTGTTTTTTAAATCCTTTCTAAAAAAAAATTTTTTTAAAAATACAAAATAGGAAGAGAGTAGGGAAGAAAAGAATCATTAAAATAACCCCTCTCCTCGCAATTATTCTCCTCACAGTTCCAGTGGGCAGATGTACAGAATCAGTGTCAGTAGTAGCGCATGCCCCAGAAAGCTGAGCAGGACAATGTGTGTGTGTGTGTGTGTGTGTGTGTGTGTGTGTGTAATATCTATCTATATCATCTGTCTGTCTGTATATCTATCTGTCTATATCATGTGCCTCTCCTAATTTGTGAGGGCACCAACCATCATTTGCAGACCTTTGTCTGTGGCTACCCTACATCTGCCTCAGTCTTCACATCATCTTGTTTCCTGAGGTCCCGTGTCTTCCCTTATAAAGGCAACAGTCTAGGGGTGTACCCTAAATTCAGGGTGATCTCATCTCAAGAGCATTAACTTAATTTTATCTGCCAAGGTCCAGTATCCAAATAAGATCACATTCACAGGTATTGGGAGTTAGGACTCATGCATATCTTTCTGAGAGATAATACTCAGTCTATAAAAGCTGAAAAACAAAACCAACACAAAACAGTCATTTGAGTAAGCAATATGCCTGATTCTTTGCCATTGAAGGCATTCCCAGGTCTCTCATTTGAATAGTTTAGTTTCTGGAAACAGTGCAAATTCTTCTTTCCAGCTGCCCCTAACTCAGGTATTTAAACTGCCAGTGGCACAGAGCCCCCTCATTGTGTGGTGTGGCCTTACCCCTTCCGTAGACAGGATGCCTATAACAAAGGCTGGAAGGTAGTGCCTGTCCACCGAGGCTCATTCCCTGTTAATTTTTTTTCTTTTAGAAAACAAACAAAACAGAATTAGTCATTTTATTTTCTAGGACAGTGACATACTTCTCTTTTAAAAAGTATGATATTTAGTATGGGAAAGAATAAAGAACATTACAGCATTGAACGGCAAAACTACATCTTTAGGCATTGTGATGGAGCAGAGGAAAGTTTACTTAGAATTCTATTTCTTTCTCTCTCTCTCTCTCTCTCTCTCTCTCTCTCTCTCTCTCTTTTATTCATTTCCACTGTTAGGGCAGCTTACTAAAATAACCATAAAACATCTCCGATATCATTTCCACAACTGAGAGTGAAACCGTGGTCCAATAACACGCCTACTCCTCGATGCTTGCTTAGCATATGGCATGAATCACCCTTTGCAGCTTGTAGGTTGGCAACAAGTCTGTTTTAGCCCAGGTCCCTGGAAACTCTTACTGGAGTTCCCAGTAAAAGAATAGTAACAATAGTTAGAGTCATTCCACAGTAGGAAGTCAGCTGTCTATCAAAATAGCAGTGGGGGGGCACTGCATATAGAGGGTTTTCTACTATAAACTGGATACTCTGGATTTCTGGTCGACTCACTCTGGGAGAGGAGAGACAGATCCATGGGAGTAGGCACAGTCTTTTGATCTTCTTTTAGGCCAACTTGGGCCTGTGTCTGCTCTACAGTTCTATACTAGATAATTCTCAAGAAGTATGGCAAACAGGAAAGGGCTTGAGAGACAAGCTGTTAACTCTGTACAGAGACCTATTATCTCATTTCAACCGAAAACATCAGAGATGCTCCAATGAGAAAACCAAAAACAACCAACAACATTCAAAATAGCAACAACCTTGTGTTTTCCTACACCTAGCAGGACTCCACCACAGATTCCTGTAAGTGCACCAGTGAGGTGAAAAGGAACAAAAACAGATATCATTTGTTTTATAAGGCATGGTGGTTTGAATGAGAAGGACCTCCATAAGCTCATATATTTGAATGCTTGGCCCCCAGTTGGTGTAACTGTTTGGGAAGGACTAGGAGGTGTGGCCTTGTTGGAAGAGATGTGTCACTGGGGGTGAGGCTTTGAGGTTTCAAACAGCCCACACCATTCCCAGTTAGCTTTTAAGATGTCAACTCTGAGCTACTGTTCTAGGCCACACCTGCCTGTCTTCTTCCCTGCTCTTTATCATGTTAGGTCATAGACCCTTACTGTGAGTCCCCAAATGCTTTCTTCCATAAGTTGCCTTGATGATGGTGTTTTGTCACAGCAATAGTAAAGTAACTAAGACACAAGGGAAAATCTTTGTCACTGGTAAATATACAAGCCAGCATGTCTGTATTAGCTTTCTGTTACTGTAACCAAACACCCAAGGAAACCAGTTCAGGGACAGAAAGTTCATTTTTGTTAATAGCTTCAGAAGTTTAAACTCAGGATTGGTGGTTCACACTATGACTTCCAATCCAAGGGTTAAGTCCCTGAAGGATGCTTAGCTTATCTGGGTGTCTGAAATTGATGTCTAGGACCAAGGACATTTCTTTAATTTTCTTTTGAGATGCATTTATTTTATTATTTGACGTGTATGAGTGCTTTGCCTGCATGTATGTTGTGTACCATGGGTGTGCCTGGTGTCCATGTCCGTCAGAAGAGGCCCTCAGATCCCCTGGGTCTGGAGTTACAGGTGGTTGTGAGCTACCGTATTCGTGTGTGCTGGGGATTGAACTTGGGTCCTCTGCAAGAGCAACAGGGGCTCTTAACACTGAGCCAACTCTCCAGCCCCAAAGGATATTTCTTGTATAATGAACTCATCTAGACATCTTGCATCTTTTCTAAGATTTTGTTCCATTTGATAACCAGAAACGTTAAGCTTGTATTGATGTGTGAGATGAAGGATTCCAATGTATGAACAACCCAGAGGCTTCTGGTGAATCACTAATCTAGCAGCAAGCCCAAGTCTCCTCTCAAAGGGAGTATGACTCTTAGTTGCTGAAGGCATTGTCTCAGTTGAAAATCCAGAATATTTTTTCTGTAGTTTTCCTTATAGGAGCTGCCTTGGCTGCTTGCCTGTGTTCATAAATCACTTTGGGGAGAGAGGGAGAAATTGCAGATATAAATTCTTATTTATATAGCCAAAGGGTCGTGTTGGGACTCAGAAAATGATTCCACAAAGCACTGTATTTTGACATGTTGAGAATCTGACCTGATGGAGAGTGGAAGTCCTCCGTGACCTTCTCATGGCATCTGTCTCCTGCTGCCTCTTTTCCTGAGCTTCCCTGGAGCCATTCACAGAAACCACAATTCTTTTCTAACACAAAACATAGAAATTACAGGGTGGGGAGATGACTCAGTAGTTAAGAGCATTCCTTGCTCTTCCAGGGGACCCAGGTTCTATCCCTCCACACACATTGGGTAGCTCACAATCACCTGTAACTTCACCTCCAGGAGGATTTAATGCCTCTGGCTTCTGTAGGCATTCATACTTACATGCACATATCATTTACACACACCCTGCACTCACATGCAGATATTTACACACACACACACACACACACACACACACACACACACACACACGCTCTTTTTTAAAAGTTAAAAAAAAGTCCCACAGAAATGAGAAGGGTCACTCCCTTTCTTCAACATCTTCGTTGCAGGGGAATTCTGCTTTGTACCCAGGAGAAAGGCATGCTGCACAGAGAAGTCCCAAAAAATCTGAGCAGACAGGCCTTGCTGGGTCTCCTCTCACCATACCCCTTTGTCTAATGCCATTTCTGGGTAATTCTCCATTCTTCACTGAACATAAGCATACTATGAGACAGTTTCCCTTTGTGTCTTCACTTTTGAAGTCTGTGCTGTGTAAAACCTCCATTACATAAATTTAGTTGGACATTTCAGTCTCTGTGTATCCCAGGATAGTCTTAATCCTCCTGACTCATGGTCCTTAGTCTGGGATTGCAGGTGTAAGATCACAGATTACAAGCCCATTTTAATCTGACTTTGGTTGTAAGAATGTCAGTTACGAGTTTGTGATGGATGGTGATGGGTATCATATCGTTGAACCTCTACAGTTAGAACTGACCAGACTGTGGCTTATACTTGGCTAGAGTCAGTCACTAAGGCTTTTTTTCTCAACCCTATTCATTTATGTAATCTTTTGGGTGACCCAAGACATATAGTGTATCTAAGCTGGAGAGATGGTTCAGTCAGTAAGAGTACTTGCTGCTTTTATAGAGGATGGGAACTCTATTTCAGTACCCACATTGGATATCTCACAATTACCTGTAACTACAGCTTGAGGGGATCTGACACCCTCTGACCTCCATAGGCTGTTGCACATACATGTGCACACACACATGCACACGCACACACCACACACACACACCCCACACACATTTCCAAGTTGTTGGGCTGGGGTGTGGCTTAGTGGCAGGCCACTTGTCTAGCATGCTTGAGGCTTTGGGTTTTATCCTTAACACTGCAGTCATCCAACCAACTAATCTGTCAACCAGCTAATGGTTGTGGTGGTGAACACTTATTCCAACACTCAGATGTCTGAGATAGGAGGATTTTGAGCTTGAGGCTTGAACTACACAGCAAGACCCTATCTCGGAAACACAGAAACAGGGTTGTGGATTTAGCTCAGTTAGTGTGCACAGGGCCCTGGGCTCATCCCCAGCACCAGCATAAACTGGGCTTGGTGGTACATACTTGTAATCCAAGTACTTGGGTGGGGGAAGCAAGAGAATCAGATGTTCAAGGTCACCCTTGACTGAACAAGTGAGTTTAGGGCCAGCTCCAGCTACACGAAACCCTGTCTCAAGCAACTCTTAGTTCATTAGGTTTAGATGGCTCTGGTACTCTGGGGTCCAACATGGGCAAATCGAAGTACAATATAAATAGTAAAAAACAAAAATTTCACAATAAGAAATCAGGAATAAACCTTTAAGTAGCGACTTTCCACTTTAACACTCACTATGTATTCCACGCTGGTCTCCAACTGGCGATCTTCCTACCCCAATGTGTACCAGATAATCACATTCACCAATTTCGGAGACAGGGCATTGAAGGCATTAGGTAGGAACCAGAGTCAGCCTCCATTAAATAACAGACAAAGGAGTACTTATTCTAACCCACAGCTGAGCTATTCCCCACGAAGCCCAAAATAGGACAACACAAACCAATGGGAAGAAATAGCAATATATGAAGCCAGAGGCTAAACCTGGAAAATATCAGAGGATGCCCCGCCCAGCCCGCCTCCACACAAAGCCCTGCCTTTGGCCTTTAGCAGAACATTCCAAACTTCTTAGGCTTCCGCCCAGTGTGGGGCTCAGCAGCGTTTTGAAGTCTTAGGTTATGCCTTATCCCTTTAACCCCCTACCTCCACCAGCACACAACCTTTCTCTGATCACTCGAAGCACGGATGAAAATCTCAGTGGTTCGCCCTTTGCTGTGGGAGAGCATAGGCCTGAAAGAGGCCCACCAGGGAAATGGGCAAATGTAGAGCTCAAACTCATGGGAGAAAATGGGGCTTGAGGGGGTACCTCTGGGCCAGCCTGCTTCCCCCGTAGATCCCTGGGCGGAGCCCTCAAAAAAGCCCCCTTCGGACATCCCGCCCCCTGCTCGGCCTCCTCCTTCTCCCACCAGGGGAGATGCCAACTCCGCCCGGCTGAGTCACGGCCTGAGCTGGGGAGGAGGCGGAGAAAGGCGGCCCTAGCCCAGATCGCAGCCGTCGGCCGCAGGGAGAGCAAACAGGGTTGTCAGAGATCATGGGGGAGAGCGCGCTGCAGTCGGGGCCTGTGCCCGGGGTGCCGGCCGGGGGTCCGGTGCACGCCGTCACCGTGGTGACCTTGCTGGAAAAACTGGCCACCATGCTGGAGGCGTTGCGGGAGCGTCAGGGTGGCCTGGCTGAGAGGCAGGGCGGCCTGGCGGGCTCGGTGCGCCGCATCCAGAGCGGCCTGGGCGCGTTGAGTCGCAGCCACGACACCACCAGCAACACACTGGCGCAGCTGCTGGCCAAGGCGGAGCGCGTGGGCTCTCACGCGGATGCAGCCCAGGAGCGGGCGCTGCGCCGTGCAGCTCAGGTGCAGCGGCTGGAGGCCAACCACGGGCTGCTGGTGGCGCGCGGGAAGCTGCACGTCCTGCTCTTCAAGGTCAGTGACCTTAGGCACCCCTTAATCCCCGCCTCTAGGCCACCACATAGGGGTTCTCCCGTCTTCCGCCCGTCCACCATCTCTGCTGTGGAACAAACTCTCAGAGCCGCACCCACTTCTCACCTCCCACAGCGGGGCCTTATCCCTCTCTCACTCGCAGCCTGGCCAATCCACGCCCTCCCTGCTATAGCTCAGGTCAGTCCGCAGATTTGCTCATTCCCAACCACATGAAAATAACGGTTGTGGCGTTTCTGTGCCTCCTCCAAGCGCCCATACAGCTTACAGGGTTTCATCTACTTTGCAAACTTGCACAGCCCACTCTCCCCCTCCCTGCTCATCCCTCTTCTCCTCCGGGTCCCATCTTCCCATTCCTCTCATTTGGCTCCAATTCCCCGTGCAGAGGCAAAGGGTGGAGTAGCTTCCTTTGGTGTAACCGCGGGGAGAGTTTCAGGCTGGTCCTGGCTAAGTGCCCGCCAGAATCAAAGCTGTGTCGTCACATTCAGGAGGAGACTGAAATCCCAGCCCGCGCCTTCCAGAAAGCACCAGAGCTCTTGGGCCCCGAGGACCAGTCCGTGCTGGGCCCAGAGCAACCAGAGGATCAAATTGGAGAGAGTTCCGACGAGGAGCCGGTGGAGTCCCGGGCTCAGCGGCTGCGACGCACAGGCTTGCAGAAGGTACAAAGCCTAAGAAGGGCTCTTTCCAGTCGTAAAGGCCCTGAAGCTGCACAACCCACACCAGTCAAGCCGCCACGGCTGGGGCCTGTCCGGAGCTCGGAAGGCCCACCAGCTGGCCAGCCTGCAGCTCAGCCAGCTGCGCTCGAGTCCTCACTGGAGTCTGCCCTGGAGCCAGAACCTCCTCAGGCTACCGAGGAAGATCCTGGGAGGCCTGTGCTTCAAATAGAGAGTGCAGCCTGATCACTGGAGCTGCCTGTCCCACTCGGTGCTTATGCCTTGTCCCAAAAATAAATCCTTAAAGCGTGCAGCACTTACACCCAAATAAGGAGAAAATTCTGCATCCACCGCCCAGTTGCGATCCCCCCTTCCCGGCCTTTCAGTCTGGAACCCTGTGTCCTCTGAAAGAGGAGCATTCAGCCTAATGTAGGCTCACCAGCAATAAAAGTAATTTCATCTAACCCAGACTCCATGTGAAAGGGCGAGGACGGGTGTGGGGTGGGGAAGGCAGTAGGAGGGGTAAGCATGATGGAGCCTGGAATGGGTTGAATGGCAAATGTTTCTCACTTTTCACTGGATCCCGGGTCTCCTCCACTGGCACAGAGAAGTACCCTGCTGGCCACTTACTGCTTAAACACGTTCCCTGTGGGGACATACATATAAGCGAAGTTTTGGGAAGGTGGGGTGCTGTGCAGTTCTTTGATGAAAATGCCCAATTAAATGTCAACTAGTGCTTTCCCATTTACTCTTTGACTTCTATCATCCCTTAAAAGTCGAATTTTACAGGGTTCTTCAGTCAGGCTTGTTTCTAGTCTTCCTGATTCCGGTGTCTGAGGCTCACTCCAAGGTCTCTCTCAGCAGCCACATACAACCCAGATGCAGTTGAAAAGCAATTCAAAAGTAGCCCTTGGTCTACTTATGTTCTCCTGCCAAAAACAAAACACACAAGCCACTCATTGTTTTCAAAAACAAATGAGTAACCTCATAGGTTGAGTCTAGGCCACTTAGAATTGAGCATCTCTTACAAAGAGACGGCGTGATAAGCTGACTTCCTAAGTGAAATGAATACAACAACATTCATAATCTTCATGTCAATGCATAAAACAAAATAAAATAAAATAAAATAAATAGGATCTAGATGTTTTTAGATTTTTATTAGGATTTGAATCCAGAAATGTCCCATTGCTGAGTGCTTGGTTGCAAGCTCGTGTGTGTGTGTGTGTGTGTGTGTGTGTGTGTGTGTGTGTGTGTGTGTGTCTAAGAATGGGTTCCGATTTAATAAATGGATTAAGTCCTTGATGAATCCATAGTATGTCATCATTATTGGGAGAAGGTGAAAAGTAGGAGGTGAGGTTTAGTTGGAGACTGGTCACTGGGTGAAGATGGATCCCCAGAAGATGGATGCTTTATTGCCTGTCTGTTTCCTGGCTGCTATGAGGTAAACAGCCTCAGCCAAATATGCCTGCTGCCATAATCTGCCTCACTTCAGGCCAAACGCCATCTCTCTAGCCCCCATTAAAAAAATTTAAAAAATTATTTCAGCACTATAGCATGAGGAGTTAATTTTATACTTGATGCATAATAGAATAAATACAGTGTTAATTCCTCTTTGAAGGTATATATACATCATGTTAGTTTCCATGGACTTTGAAATATTCTGGCATATTCAAATGTTCATGACCATTTTGTGGACACTTCCATATCTAGCACAAGCCCGGTCATAATACCGGTGGGCACATCATGGGGAGGGTTATCTACTACCTTTGAGGAAATGGGCTGTGTGGAAGCCCAGCTGCTTGAAGTAGCCCAAGCTTCTCACTACTTGGCCAGGTAGGGCAGAAGTACAGTAGTTTGCTCATGATGTCTTCTGGGGATACAGATTGCAGCTGGTCTACACATCTGGTGAAGCTGCCATGGGTGCTGTGACTAGATCTGAGGACTGGCTGAGACATCAGTGGGTACTTCTGGATCAGATGGCACACACAGATGATGTGCAAGTGAATGAGGGACAACATGCTCTCTTATGTCATCTATGTGAGAGAAGTTGCCCAGTGACTCTGGAAGTTTGTTTCTATCACATTAAAAAAAAAAAAGAAGAAGCAAACACATGTATCACATCACTACACATGTGTGGAGGTTAGAAAACAACTTTTAATAGTTGTCTCTTCTTCCACTGTGGGAACCGAATTGAGGTCATCAGGCTTAGTGGCATATATTCTTACCCACTGGGCCATCCTTGGCTCTCTGTCTTGAAACATTTTTAAGGTTTATTTTATGTATTTTTGCCTGCATGTATGTATATGCACCACATATATGACTGGTACCCATAGAAACCAGAAGAGGGCACTGGATCTCCTGAAACTGGAGTTACAGATGATTGTAAGCACCACGTGGGCACTGGAAACTGAACCCAGGTCCTCTGCAAGAGTCACAAATGCCTTCAACTGCTGAGCCATCTCCTCAGCCCCTATATTCTTTTATAACTTTTTATTAATTTCCATTGCACACCAACAGTCATTTATGTGGCAGGCCCTGCTGAGTATAGTTCAGAATCTCTCCATCTCCTGAGTTTTCTTTACTAATGAATGGCACCATCATTTACATAGAAACTTGAGCTTTCTGGTTGGTTTGATGATTCTGTCATTCCCTCCCACAAGGAAACAGTTATCGTGGACTTGACATCAACAGTATGACTCCCTTTTAGAGCTCTTATCTGTGGCCTTTTGAGGCCTTCTTTCTCCTGACCAGGGTTAGACTGCCAGTCTGGCTACATCAGACTCCTAGCTCACACCCTCAGTGTCTCTGAGCACCTTCACAGCAAAGCTAAAGCTTTCGCCCTTTACCTAAAGTCCTCGGTCTGTGCCTGTGTGTCCTCATGCTACAACAGGCTGAATGTCTCTGGTTCAAAACTCTGAAATCTGAAAAGTCCCCAAATCTGAGGACTGAAATGATGCCACAAGTGGAAAATTTCACACCCGACCTCACGTGACAGGTCAGTATGGGAGTACATGTGCACTAAATGTTTTATATAAAAATTGCCTTTAGGCTATGTATATAAAGTGCAAGAACACACACATATTTGGGCTCAGGGTCCAGACCCAAGAGCTCTTATTGTATATAAGTGCAAGTGCTTTATTCCAGAACCTGGGAAGATTGTGATATCCAGAAGACTTCTGCTTCTGAGCCTTTTGCATGAGGGATACTGAGCCTGTGTTGTCATACAGAGTCACATGCTCTCAGTGCATCTCCTGCACAACTCAGCAGGCACACCTGTTTCAGGGCCAGACGTTTCTCTTCCTTGCTCTCAAAGCACCACTTGCCCAGCCCTCAACTCTCTAATGGCCCAATTGTGGTTGTGGTTGCTACTTTGTCCCTCTCCACACAACTGTGACAACTTTGCCCTAGAGACTGCTCTACTCATGACTTTGTGTTGCTGATACTCCTTTTGACCACATGGTGTCACTATTGGGGTGCCAGTGTCCTAGTTGGTGCTTCATCCACCCCCACCCCCCATTCCCTCTCAGCTTGATTTGATTTTCCAGAGATGGGGCAGCTGTAGACCTGGCTTTGTGGATCTGGGTCTTTTCAAATGGGGAAAGCGGAGGCTCCTCCTCCAGGCTCCGAAACCTTAGTACTCACACCACCCTGACTTCATAGCTGCTACTGCTTTCAAGAGTCGGCCAGCTCAAAGGGCCCCGGATGAGCAGGGTGGGCTTAATATCTTTAAGGAAAAACAAAGTCTTGTCTTTTCAAGTCCCTAGGAATCCACCTGGTTTCCCTCTTTCCACCTACAAACAAAAGGAATATTTCACACATAAGATATCTAGATCCTTAACTTCTTCTAGAAAGACTTGGTAAACTTCCAAGAGAAGGTGGAATGTTACCTTGTATTCCTTCCTAACTGGTGTACAGTAGCAAACAATTGGATCAAGTTGAAACAAAATTAGTTCTGTTTCTTAATAGCCCACTTGGTTACATTATCTTCTCAATTGTCACAGCTAGAGTAACTGTTAATAAGATTATGAATTCAAGCGCCAGCTGTCTGACAGTGTAGCACAAACGTGGCTACTTTAAGTAGATGGACTGTACACTGATGGATCACTAAATTTCAGAGGTTGGTTCCCAGCTCTTTGAGCCAGAAATGGAAATTTATTCGTTGATCCAGCAGGATTTGGCTGTTCTGAAATAGCAAAACTCGAAAAAGATTGATTAACTTGAGTGCTCCATTCATTAATTTCCCTACAAAATCTAACTGCCGAGTAAGGGGAACAATTCAGCCAGAGAGAACGTTTCTCAGCCTGACACAAAGTCTATAGGGGAAGCCAGCCAGATCTTAGAGCGCGTGAAGATAAGCAAGGTTACTGAACCTGTTTTCTGATGTGACATGTCTCCTCCAGCAATAAAGAATACATGCATTCATAATAGGGAATTTCTCCTTTGGGTAAGTACAGGAAATTCGTTGGGCTTTCCTTTGCTGGAAGTGGAGGACACATCTCTCCACTCAAAGCCAGTGAGTCTACTAAAGTTCTTGTTCAATCTTGTCTATTCTTAGCTGGTCTGCATTTGAAACAGTCCAGGGTCCATGAACTTACTATTTTCCCAGGCAACTCTATTTTTAGATATTGTAACTGACAGTGATGGTCACTTTTTTTTGTCAACCTGACACAGGTAGAGAACTTCAATTTGGGAAGAGAGAACCTCAATTGAGTTGGCCTATAGGCAAGTCAGTGGGGTCATTTTCTTGATTAATGATTGAGGTGGAAGAACCTATGCCACCATGGGCAATGTCACTCCTGGGTAATTAGTCCTGGGTTGTTCAATATGATGGACTTCAAGCTATAATATAATAAACCCTTTCCTCCCTAGGTTGCTTTTGGTTACGGTGTTTGACACAGCATTAGGAAGCAAACGAGGACACTGACTAAAGCATTTTCTTCATCCTGAGATCAAAATCTATCCCCATGATTTCCATGTGTGGCAGTTGCTTCTCCTTCAGGGATATGCTGGAGGAGACTCACCGTAACAGGGTACACAGGGCTGACTCATTTAGGATTTCCTCAATCTCTTCTTGAGCCCAGGCATTATTTGTTCTTATGTTGTGTTCTTTCAAGTCTTGGCCTTTTCCCTGTGAATTATCTTACTTTATGAAATCTGTTTTAAACAGGTAGTTGGCAAGGTGCCATGGAAGCATGGCTTTCATACTTAAGACATCTGGGCTTCATGTTGCCAATTTCCCTTACCAGGTCTGTTATGAGAATTAAAAAAAAGACTGTTAAGTTGGGTCTGGGGAATAGCATAGTGGTAGAGCATTTGCTTAGCATGAAGTGCTAGATTCAGTTCCTATTACTGGAAAAACATATTGTTCTTTTGATATTTGTGGTTTCTTGGGAGGCTAAGGCGAGAACATCACTGTGAGTTGGAGGACATTAGGAGCTACAAGATCCTGTCTCAAAGTGCCGAC